GAGGAAACGGAGGGTGTCCGTACCCGAAGTCAACGCCAGCAGGAGACGGACCAACGAAGATTTGGTGGTGCGACGCCGCAGACGTCGGAGGGCCAGCCGCCAGCTGCAGGCCCGTCAGTAGCTCCTACATCTGCAGCACCTGACTTAGGTGCTCTGATGGTGATGCTGCAGGAGCAGGCTCGCCGACAGGAGGAACAGGTCCGTCGTTTGGAAGAGCAGCTGCGGGGCGGACAGGAGGAACAGGCCCGCCGATTAGAAGAGCAGCTGCGGGGCGGACAGGAGGAACAGGCTCGTCGGTTCGAAGAGCAGCTGAAGCGCGGACAGGAGGAACAGGCCAGTCAGTTGAAAGAGCAGCAGGAGGAACAGGCCCGCCGACACGAGGAACAGGCCCGCCGACAGGAGGAACAGATGCTCCTCATGAAGGACCTTCACGCTACCTTCGGGAAGGAGATAAAGGAGGTGAAGGATAGGGTTGCTCACCATGACAACCGCCTGTCGGATGCTGAAAACGAACCCGAATCGACCAAGTAAACAATCGGGTTGACAACGTAATGGCTGACATGAAGAAATCACTGGACGAACTCAAACTTGGAGATGGAGCTACAGCTCCCGTAGTAGCTACAAGACCTTCGCTACGTGGGTTCAAGGTGCCACCGTTCGACGGTACCTCTTCCTGGTCGGCCTACAAAATCCAGTTCGAGGCCGTCATGGAGGCGAACGGCTGGAATAAAAGCCAAGCCATGACTGCACTCACCCTAGGCCTGCGCGACCAAGCCTTAACTGTGTTGGAAGCTCTCGGTAAGAAAGTGACCTATGAGCAGCTTCTTGAGGCCTTGGAAGCGAGATATGGCGACGCTCATCTGGAACACGTCTTTCGCGCGCAGCTTAAAGATCGCGTGCAGCGCAGCAACGAGAACCTGCAGCAGTGGGCTCTAGAAGTGGAGAAGCTAGTGCGAAAAGCATACCGGTCTGTACCTGCGCTCATTGAAGGGAACCTGGTGCAGACATTCATCGACGGCATCCGTGACCTGGAAGTCAGAGCTGCTGTGAGGCTCGGGCACCACGAGACGCTTAAGAACGCCTTGGCCCATGCACTGGAGGTGGAAGCCGTGCGGCAGGATCGTCGTTCCCATCGCGTCAGGGAGGTTGCAGCAGCTACAGTCCGTGACCGCAGCAAAGGATACAGCCCTAGGTGCTATGGCTGTGGGGAAAAGGGCTATCTTCGATCCAGCTGCCCTAAACTAACCGTGGAAAGGAGAGTTGATCGATCGCGAGAGGGTAGTACAGCTAACGGCACGCATCATCGTTCACCTCATGCTAGGGAGGTTACAGCAGTTACGGTTCGCGACCACAATAAAAGATACAGCCCTAGGTGCTATGGCTGTGGGGAAAGGGGCCATCTTCGGTCCAGCTGCCCTAAGCACACCCTAGGAAGGGAAGGTGAACGGTCTCAGAAAGGAAGTGCGGCTAACAGCGCCACCCAGCAGCAGCAGGAATACGACTTTACTATCAGACACTGCAGCGGGAAATCTCACGGCAACGCAGATGCATTGACAAGAAGACCTTGTCCTGAAGATTGCAACCATTGTAGTAGGCAAGAGAGTATGGAAGTGGTATCCGTGAGGATGCTCAGGACAGACCATCTCAGCAACGGGTGGAAGGACAGCCTACGACATGCACAGCAGGAAGATCCGGACATCAAGCCGATTCTGGGATGGATGAATGCCCGTGCTACCAAGCCTAAGTGGAGGGACGTCTCAGCGATGAGTTCAACCACGAAAAGCTATTGGGCCCAATGGGACAGCTTGCTGATTCAGGATGGAGTCCTGTGCCGTAAATGGGATAGTGGTCGAAGGGACAGCTGTCGTTTGCAAATGGTTGTCCCTAAAGCTAAAGTGCCGAATGTTCTACAGCTGTGCCATAATGGTCGTTCAAGAGTCCATCTGGGAGTTAAACGAACTCTACTGAAGGTCCGAGAACAGTTTTACTGGGTCCATTATCGTGACGATGTCGAGGATTGGTGTCGTACATGTACAAGTTGTGCGGCCGTGCGGGGACCTCAGACACGTAGTAGAGGAGCACCGAAATTGTACAATGTTGGTGCATCACGGGATAGAACAGCCCTTGACATTGCGGAGCCGTTACAGAAAGGCGCAAGAGGGACTCCTAAGATCGTCCATGTGAATCGCTTGGCGCGTTATTATGGGGCCGATAATGCTCGGGACGAGCATGTCTTAGGAGGGGGCAGTGTTACGCGCTCCAGTCAACGATACACTAGCGCCATCTAGTGTCAGGAACGAGAGCGAGGGGAGCATTGAGAAAATGACATCACAAATCACCCAACTGACAGCGCCTAGTCGAAACTCGAACGCTCGGTACCTTCCGCGTGTTTACTTGAACATTCTGGATATTTCTTTGCTAATTTAAATATATAGGCGCTGCAAGATGCGATGGAAGCAGTGTTGATTTGGGCGAAACAAGCGAAGCTTCGGAGTGGAATTAAGTGAATTAGTGTGTTTAAATTATTAGTGTTTTAACTTTAATTGTGTAAAGTAAATTAAAGTGTTAATTTAGGTAATTTTATCGGCAATTTTTATTGTCACGAACCTCAAGCTCGTAACAATAGGCTTGTAATCGGAGCTTGCACCGTCTACAACGACCTTGATGCTCCGATCCGCAAGAAAGCTGGTGATCCAATCGCACAATTTGTCTAGAAGCCCATTGGAAGGGAGAAGGGAGCAACGAAAGAAGCGCTTTGTGCCAAACCCGATCGAAGGCCTTCGCAATGTCCAAACTAACGGCCAATGCCTCACCCTTGGACTCTACTGCCTCCGCCCATCTGTGAGTTAGGTAGACCAGAAGATCACCAGCTGACCGACCACGGCGAAAACCGTATTGGCGGTCACTAATCAGACTGGGCTTATTGATTCAGCATCTGCAGCTCAGCAAGGAATTTTCAGCCAGCAAAAAACATTTTGTGTACACACACAAAACAAACGTTTTGTGTGTGTACACAAAATGTTGTTGCATTTCCTGTAAAAGCGTACGTATTATTAGATGGATTCCAGCGTTTAACTATGATCTAGCTGTCTAAATTAACAGGCTGATTAAACCATCCGGCTGGATACCATATGACATTATATTGCCATTTCTTAAAGACAGCAAAATACTACAGTAGACATGTTTTTATACAACAGATTTTGAATTGTCAGAATAAAATAACACAATAGACGTATTTAGATCCGTCAATGTTCATCCAACAATGGATTTTCAATGGTCACAATAAAATAACATGATAGACATAATTAAAGCTATCCTTAGAGTATATAGAAGCAAGTATTTATTACATACTCTAAATAATAAAATAACACCGTAGACGTATTTATAGTTAGCACTGTTCGGCCAACAATGAATTTTTTTTTTATTATCATACTGAAATACAATTATAGACTTATTTACAACAATCTTTCTCCATCCATCAGTAGATTTTGATTTATCACAATAAAAAAACCATAGTAAACGTATTTATAACTAGAGTAGAGTAGAGTTTGAATTATCATTAAAATAATACAGTAGACGTATTAGAGCTATCATTGTCCATTCAACAACTTAGTGTTTCTAATTGATACCACAAAATAATACTGAAGACGTATCAATAATAGGTCCTTACATATGAAATTGGCGTTTTGTACGGGAGGAATATAAAGTCATTTTTTTTTTGTAAAATATATTTAATTAATCAAAGTATGCACCGTTGTTATCAATGCACTTTTGCCATCTCATAGGTAGTTCATTGATCTCTTTACTAAAAAACCATGGGGCGAGAATCTATAAACTCTTTGAAGGCGATTTGGACTGCCGCATCGGAGTTGAATTTTTTTCTTGTAAGAAGTTGTCTAAATTCTGGAAAAAATGGTTATCTGTTGGAACAAGGTCCGGGAAGTACGGTGACGTCACAGACATTCCAATTGTAGCTCATCTAACTTAGTGGTTGTTTGTTGTGCAGTGTGTGATCTTGCGTTGTCGTGAAGCAGCAGTGGCCTAGAGCGATTGAACAATCTCGGTTGTTTAGCATCTAGTTCTACCTTCGTGGTTTGCAGTTGCTGACAAAAGATAATCTGCCGTAATTGTTTGGCCAGATTTTAGAAAGCTGTAGTGTACGACACCGGCGCTAGTCCAAACACTCACAAGTAACTTTTTCTGAGTCAGTTTTCGTTCAGGGCAGGATTTGGCTGGGTTTCCATGGTTCAGTCATTGCAAAGAGCGCTTCTGATTATCGTACAGTATCCACTTTTCATCACAAGTAATGATTCGATTTAAAATCCCTTCATTTTTGTGTCGGTTGAGCAAAATAACACAGCAGTCGACGCGTGTTTGCAAGTTCGATTCACTCAATTCAAGAGGTACACATCGTTCAAGTTTTTTTTCTTTCCCGATTTGCTTCAAGTGGATTAATACAGTTATATGACTTACCTCGAAGCCTGCTAAATGAATTTATAAATTTGAATTTGGAATTCTTAACTAAAGAGGAGATATTTCTATTGGGTCCTTACATATTAAATTAGAGTTTTGTCTATTATATAGACAAAACGCTAATTTAATATGTAAGGACCCAATAACTATCACTATCCATCCAACAACGGATCTTAAATTATCACAATAAAATACCACAGTAGACGTAATTATAGCTATCAATGTTCATCTAACAATGGATTTTGAATTGCCAGGACAATACACCTAAGCTTTTCCCGGCTTATTTGGCACACTGCACCATGGACGACGTTCCGTTACATGTCTGGAAGTTTATAAGATTGATATGCCATTGTTTATCAGAAGCTACCATTTTTTTTCTTTTACCTAAGTAGAGTTTATTGATCTTTACGGGATGAGATTTACTTATGGATCTTACGTTGCCATACGGCAATATTATGTGTATATTAAGTTCTAAATCTTGCATTATTTAAAAATTAAATATATTTTTCACTTTTTTCAACTTTCAGAGATCCTGTATCAGGCTGGAACAAAAACATGGCTGCTACTTCAAGTAACAGTGTAATGCTTGCGTTTTTAATAACGAGTATTTTAATTGTAAAAACTATTGCTTAATCTAACAATTGACGAAATTGTATGAAATAATAATACATTATCAACTATATCGTTGATTACTTTTGTTACAATTAATTTACCTACTTTTGTAAATCGCTATATGTAATATGTTGTTAATAGATTTATTTCAATTATATATTTTTTTATAGATTTAATTGAAAATAAAAGTTCGATCAACATGGCTTCAATTGAATTTAAATAAGATATAAAATCGTTTTATCAGTGAGAATTCGAGAATTTCTAGGTATAATAACATTTGCCGCGATATTTTTTTAACATCATTACGGTGTTATTCAACAAAATTAAGACGGAATAGTTATTTAAATAATTCAAATATATCGTAAATATTTGCATAATCATTTATTAATCGCCTTACAAAAAAGGTTATGAATTAAACTGCTTTTAACGTGTTATTTTAATTTATTGTAAGATAATAATTTCATATAGTAAGTGAGGGTAATATGTATGATCATTCGGCTAATATGGTCACTTTCTTATAACTCAAAAACTACAGCCTTGCTTACATAGATGGTTTTGTGCTACGATAGCTCTTCATCGGACAATCAAGTAATAAAGGGTCAAAAGGGCGCTGCTTTATCGATGCCATTTTGACAGTAACATTACAGTAAATACTTTAGTCGAATTTAATATGGTGTAGTGTAGTTAAGTTTCTTAAGTAGATTTTTCGAAGTATTCCCAATTATTTCCAAAGCTTGTTTGCTATTTTTTCTTAATATATTAGTTGTAGTAAGGTGGGTGTACCATGGAAGGCCACTCTAACAAATAAACAGTTATAATTCGTTTATTTACTGGATGAATGAAACTAACAAATATTTAAGTAATACGAGTACTTTGTTTTATTACATAACATATACACCACTTTTTTAAATTGCAGATTTAATCAAAGTGGTTTATATGTTACGTAATAAAACAAAGTATTACTTAAATATTTGTTAGTTTCATTTATCCAGTAAATAAACAAATAATAACTGTTTATTTGTAGAGTGGCCTTCCACGGTACACCCACCTTAACTTAACGTCGTCGATTCCCGAAATCAATGAAGCGAGGGACTGTACTGCCAAAACAGTAGCGCGAGCGATTCGCCGCAGCGTCTGTGATTTTCAGTTCGATGGGTGTTTGTGTATTTGTGTTGTGTAATTGGCCTTCGAAGGAGCATGGCCTTCCATGGTCCACCCACCTTATACGACTTTGTGTTTTTGTCTCTGTCCTTGACATAGTTTTGGTTTTAAAGGAAGGAAACGCTTAAGGTGGCCATATTACCCTCACGTACCTTAGTAACCGATGATAATTGAAGTTAGTTTTTTTTGCTAAAGTTAAAGTTACAGCCTACTCTCATTCCTGAGAGGGTTTTAGAGCGAGGAAATGTCCGCTGTGCTGCCCCAATGTAAGTTGGCAGATTTTACATGTTTTCGAATTTTTCCTCACGATGTTTTCCTTCATCGTCGAGGACGTGTAACTTACTTAATAGGTATATTTATATAATACGTATTTTTATATTAATCCGTGCATAATAATAATACATTATTTTGTACTTATTAATGTTTTCGTGTTTTTTCGATATATTTATATTTAATGTGCCGTTAATATAAACTCTTAAAGATAATTTATAACTGTGTTTTATTTCTGAAATCATTATCATTTTTATGCATCACATACACATCGTTTGAAAAAGGTAAATTTTTAACTCCTTTGGAAAATGTTGTCACTTGCACTAAAAAGTCTACTTTGTCCCGTAAGTGTCATCTAATGACAGAAAGCCATCAAGATTTTCGTTAAAAGGTGGTTTAGCGTTGCCGTCTCAGCTTAATAAAAATTTACTGCTGAACATAGGCTACCCCATAGAATACTATTATAGTATAATAATACATACATAATAGAATGGGGGAGTGGGCGGAGCCCGTGTAGCCACTTACATGTCACTAACACGTCAATTCACACGTATAAATGTCAAAATAATCAATCGTTTCCAATTTTCGTATCAAGCGTGCATGCAATTATTTAAAAAATGGTATAAAAATATTTTGTGAATATTAGAAACAAAAATAAAGAAACATTTACCTCATTTAATTACCTTATTCAAAAACCTTAATCAAAAGTCTAAAATGAGTTTTTAGTAGTAATAATACGACGTAATTGCTTGTATGTGTGCTCCCGGCGATGCCAATCCTCCTACTAAGTAAGGTTGACAGCCATTCTATTGTGTATTATAGTATACTATGGGCTACCCAATAGATTGCCAAATAGAGAGATACTTGTCGTAGTTGTCACGCTAAGCAGACTTGGCAACCATAGTTTTTTATTCTTTAGTTGTTATTAGGAAGACACTGATGCGCATTTCCTGGCTCATTTTCCTCTGTCTCTTCTTACGCCAGACATGGCACAATATGGGGTAGTTGATATTCTTATGCCGCCAGTACGTACTGATCAGACACTACAGATACATAATAATTATGAATGAATGCGCATAAATAGTTTCTGTTGTGCCAACGTTACATAGTCCATCAATCCATTTCGTCTCGTAAGTCCCGTTCATAACAATCCCAATACATTTATTTTTAATACAATTTATTTTTAATGGCGGTTTAATTGTCTTGTTAAATCTAGACGTAAAAAAATCTGTGACCCTGGAGGCCATGCCTGGAACTTCCCGCTAAGTTTGATCTCAAAACGCACGACAAATATTTTTACGAACTAATTTAGTTATTTTATTTTACTAATTAAATTATTTATTTGTTAATTACATCAAAACCGATACTAACAGAAATTTCGAAGTTATTACAAAAAAAAAAACACACTTATCTTGAATTCTTTTGACGGTGATATCTTTCGAATGGATCAACCGATTTTGATGTAATTGGTGGCAATCGATGAGATATTTTAAGAACAATAATAAAATTTATTATAAAAAAATTATTAGCCTATTAATTTAAAAGTTATGTGAAAAAACACTCTTTGATATTATTCGTCATCGATTTCTCTTCAAAGCATTAAGCGATTTTGAAGGTATGTTTTGAAAAAAAAAATATTTTTGTGCTTTCTCAATATCTACCGGTCTAAATGGGTTGAAAAAAGTATTGAGAATCTGTTATGAGAGGTTTACACACACACACACACACACACACACACACACACACACACACACACACACACACACACACACGCACGCACGCACGTATGCACGCACGCAAACACGCACGCACGATCGCACGCACGCACGCACGCTCGTACGCACGCACGCACGCACGCACGTACGCACGAACGCACGCACGCACGCACGCACGCACGTACGAACGCACGCACGCACGCACGCACACACGCACGCACGCACGCACGCACGCAGGCACGCACGCACGCACGCACGCACGCACGGACCCAAGCACGCACGCACGCACGCAAGCACGCACGCACGCACGCACGCACGCACGCACGCACGCACGCACATACACACACACACACACACACACTAATGCACACACACACACACACACACACACACACACACACACACACACACACGCACGCACGCACGCACGCACGCACGCACGCCACGCACGCGCACACACACGCACAAACGCCCGCGCGCGCACACGCACACGCCGCACACACACACACACACACACACACACACACACACACACACACACACACACACACGCACACACGCACACGCGCACGCACTCGCGCACGCACACACACACACACACACACACACATACACACATACACACATGGACTAACGCGCACACACACACACACACACACACACACACACACACACACACACACACACACACACACACACACACACACACACGCACACACACACACACACACACAAATAGATGCCTTTACCTTAGCAGTGTATGCGATATTACAACGAAGTTACAAAAAATAGTCAAGATCTCTCTATTATCAAGTTTAAATATTTTAGTAAGCAATACTGTATAACAAGGGTTACTATAATATAAATAAATACATGCTTCATAATGACCCCTGGGAATGAGGTGGTCTTCTTCCACGTGTTTCTTATATAAGTTTAATAAGTAGTTTATAAAACATGTGTTTTATTGTAAATTAATCTTCTTAAAAATATAAAATAATGCTCTTTTACGAGCATTTGTGGTTTACCAAATCTGATGTGATGGTGGGGAAGATCTGACGACGATCTGAGCGTCTGACTTGACCTGGAGCGTCGGTGCTTCACGTCAGCTGTATTTTCTTTCACGCGTGTTTTTATAGATCATAGGACAAACAAAAAGATTTTCATCTTCAAAAAAAGAAAGAACACCGATTCCTACCAAGAATGAAATGCGAGGCTACTGAAATTAAAAAAAGACATCCTAATTTCAATAGAGAAGAGAGAAGAGGTGCTGCCATCTACTCGGGATCCTATAATTAACAAAATTAAATACAAACCCAAGTATACTTCAAGCAAGACTTCAAGATACTGTAAGCTCGTTCTGCGTAGATCGGACAAAAAATTTATATTCAAAAACTGAAGGTAGCCGGGCTAACTATGACATAGGGACGTCATACATCTCATTCCCCTCCAAGTCATTCCGGTCATCCTAGTCCGTGACCATGGTGGTGTAAAGCACCCGAAACATCGGGAATTATAAATAAGCTAATTAAACTCGATAAAATCCGTGTAGTTTTATTTAACCATTTAAAAAAGTAGCATTATACGTCCATCATATTCATACACAGAATTGCTTGAAATGTGCCACATCTAGTTACTGAGAGGGTTTTGAAACAGGAAACAGTCCGCATTGCTGGCTCACACATATAGGTTGCCTTATAATATTATATTCCTTCAAACTTATTTCTCTCCGGGTTGGTTCCCATCGAACTCAGTTCGATGCCCGAAGGGAAACCGAGTTCCCTGGGCACTGAAGGCCAAATGGAACGACCGGTTTTGGTGACGTTGCAAAAGTGAGTGAGCGTGTTCCTTTGATATGTGATTTTAATCGGTGTGAGTATGAAATACTCCGTCCTGGCCCCCGCGAAGAATTCCCCAACGAAATAAAAGGTAATGATTACTATATATGAAAGTTCTAACTATACAGTGCGCAGCAGTAAACGACACTTCAATCGATTTTAAACAACGTACATAGAATGATAATATATTAAACGTAGTATCTAATTTCTTATAATAACAGCTCACCTGCCTTCACATCTGTTAACTCCCAGCAAACTTCAATAAAGTACAACCAACTCATTGTCACGCCTCTTTACCGAAGAAAGTATAACTTAATTTGAATTTTGAGCTAAAGGATGAAAGTCTATAATACTGTGCAATTCTATCTTTGTATTTGTGAAAGGTATATACCAAAGAAATATAGGTATTCAGAAGTTTGGTCGGTAGTACAAAGTTGATCAGAGTATGTGTGTGTACATTCAGACCTACGATGATGATGTGCAACTGGATTTTGCTGGGAAGAGCCTGCGCGAAATGGCTGCTTTTTGTTCTCAACGGATTGTGTATAGTTTGTATTTTTATTTTTATGAATTTTAATATATTAAAAATAAGAGTACCACAATCAAAGAAGACAAGCGGAAAGAGCAAGTGACTTTTTTAGGTTATGGACTCGACTCTCGTACGAGTAGTGCTAATTGCCTCAGTCAAGTACTTGGTAATTTACCCTTTGTGAAAGTTTATTATCATTTTTTTTACAATATTACCCAGCAGATAGTCCGTAATAGTATTGCAATGTTTAAGCATGCATAATAACTATAGGCTTATAGCACTATTGGAGAACTTATTTCATCATTATCATCATTATAGCCCTTCACAAGTCCACTTTTGAACATAGGCCTCCCCAAAGAACGCCACGAAACACTGTCATGAGTCACTCTGCATCCATCGAATTCCTGCATTTCTTACCAGGTCGTCACTCCATCTAGTGGGGTATCGCCCTACACTTCGCCTACCGGTACAAGGCTGCCACTCGAAAATCTTTTTTCCCCATCGGCTGTCGGTTCTTAGAGCTATATAGCCGGCCTATTGCCCCTTCAGCTTACTAATCCGTTGGGCTATGTCGGTCACTCTGATTCTACTGCGGATATCCTCATTACTAAGTTTATCACGCAGAAAAACCCCGAGCATAGCCCTCCCCATAGCTCGTTGAGCAACCTTGAGCGACCTTGAGCGTCCTCATACGGTCAGCATTGAAGAACCATGTGTCAGTTCCATAAGTCATCACTGGCAACACGCACTGGTTGTACAGTCTCGTTTTAAGGTTTTAAGGTATAGCTGACGAGAAGATGTGTCGTAATTTCCCGAACGCTGTCTAGCTCTCGGCTGAAGTTGGACCATTTGTCTCAGGTAAACATACTTGCCAACAACTTCGAGCTCCCAACAACTACCGGCATAGGTGTGATATGGACGTTACACATAAACTGTTGTTGTTGATTGAACATGTGTGTTGTTCATCTTAAGACCTATCCGTTTGGAGGCACCATTGAGGTCATTAAGCATAGTGCTTATGTCCTCCAGCGATTCTGCCATAAGGACTATATCGTCGGCAAATCGAAGGTGAGTGATGTATTTGGCATTGATGTTGATACCGTATCCTTTCCAGTCCAGTAGCTTGAAAACGTCCAGTGTAGCGGTGAAGAGTTTCGGAGATATGACGTCACCCTGTCTTACACCTCTTTGCAGTTGGATAGGTTTCGACCTCAGGTTCTGTACTCAGATAGCCATCGTAGCCCTGCTGTACAAACACTTCGACACTTCGATATAACGTCACCCTGTCTAGAACTTATTTATTCGTTTCTGATTAAAATCTATTCTAGGTGTTATGAATCCTTTTCTGTCAATTAGGCCGTTTGAGTAGGTTCCTCCCTCTTATTTATTTCTGCAGCTGTATATCTTGCACTGCTGTGTTCCGGTCTGAAGAGTCTAGAGAGCCAATATAGTTACAATCTGTGTAGTATTCCATCTTAGTCCCTTTGTATAAAGGCGGCTGCAGGTGAACTGTTACCGCAACAGTCGCCTTTTTATAGGATTGGGTGACAAACTAGCACATAGTCCACCTAATGGTAAGTGGTTGCTACGTTCCATAGACATTTACATCTATCCCCGATAACAAATCAAAATGCAGATGCGTTTTCACCCGTGAGGACTAAGATGGAAAGCCTCGTTTCCAGTAAAAAGCGTTTCCGGTTCTCTACACTCACCATACGAAACACAACAGCTTTAAGCTACTATTTTACGCTGGTATTCTGTGAGAGCGCGGTCCTTCCCCGGTCGAGCGGACCCATTCATGCTACAACTATACTACTAATATAACTGCAGCATGGCTCTTCCTCAGGAGGACTGTAAGTTAGTTTGTCACTTCTGTTTTATAAAATAAAAAATACTTCAAGCCATAATATCCTTCAGAATGAATTACGGAGAGACAACGAATAATAGCCATCTTCGCGGAATTGGATTATAGGGCACGAGTGTGTGCGCACACACAGGTTCAATCTCTATTCAATCACTCTTATAGTCTGACAGGACGGCAATCAGACATGATTGCCGAAAGATCAGGTGCAGGGCCAACGGCAACGATCAGAATCTTCCTCGACACGGGGTAAATACTACAAACTTCCTGACACCTGGCTGCTACAAAGATTTTCTTGACGGAAAAATAGTTTTTGGTCCGAGTCGGGATTAAAACCTGAGATCACACATTCGGCAGTCATGCTTACGACCGCTAGACTAAGGAAGTTAAGTTACACGAAATACGTTATTAAATTATTAATCAAATCGATTTTTAAATACAGTATATCGATCGAGATATCATAAGATAATCGAGATAAAAAAATATTAAAGCTGAGAGAGCCACTGTAGGCATAGAATAAATATGCTGCAGGAAGTATTTGCCTTAATCGTTAATTTTTCTTTAATTTGTAAATTAATAATTTAAATTCGTTAACATTAGTTTGGTTTACACATCTCATATCAGCACTTTGAGCAACAATTACAAACATTTTTCAAATAATCATGGTGGTCAATTTTATACACAGCATAAATTTATAGTTAAAGTAGTTAAAAAACATCTATGATGCTATTACAGCATGTTGGTGATGCATTTAATCCATCCAAAAAGCGCCCGACGCGCCTGAAGTTTTCTTATAAAACAAACATTTACAGCTTGTAGCAATATGCACATCTGGCTTCGCAATCGTGGATATTAAGATTCTGCAGCAGTACGGCGAGCATCAGGCAACGGGCACCTTCGCAAGTGACGTAATCATTCTAGCGACATGCGTGCTGCTGGTGGCTGTAGCGACTTTCGGCTGTGTTGGAGCGGCGAAGGAAAACGTTAAGATATTATGTTTGGTAAGGTTGTGCAAAGAACTACTAAGGGCTTATTTTTCAATCGTCAGATAAAAGTTATCTATGGAATAAATTAAAACCCGACTAAATATAAAAGTGTAACAGTGAAACTATTTTGTTCATATAATTGTATTTTTTTTTATGTTGTAGGAATTTTGTCCTAAAAATTAATTTGATCTGAAAATTTATTTTATATATTATAATTTAAATTAATAATAATCAGTTGAGTATCCAAGATAAAATTGAACTATAACTAGTAAATCCAACGTCAATGAACTAAAGAGAATAATACGTAAAATACGTACTGTGAAATTTTTGACGAGCACTTGGGCTTGGTGCTCGACAAAAATCTACTAAGCGCGCGCTGTAAATTTCAAAGTACGCCAGAAATGTGAGTTTGATCCCCGCTGGGACCAATTAAATTGTTTATTGTAATTTCAAGTGTTTATTTATCACATGTTGAGAAATACTTTAAAAAAAATGAAGACGTGTGAAGTCCGCTAACACGCATTTGGGCAGCGTGGCGAACATTTTCTTGCTCTAAAACTCTTAGAAATAGGGTTGGGCCTGGCCCTTACTGGGGGGTTTAGTTTGGTTGCCATTTAATACTTCTTGACCGCTGCCAAATAAAAAAAGTTTGTAAATTCTTTTTAAAAAAAAAAAAAAATAAATAAATAAAAAAAAACCATTATTTATATCTGTGTGCCCTCAACATTAACCGGAATAATCCGGTTCGAAGGACCATAAATATGTGATTTCGGGGGTAAATATGGAACACCTTTTTTGCACTTGCGTACGGAATAATTTGATTTAATTTGACATACTAATCACAATTATAAATAGCGATCCTATTTATAAGAATACGCGAGTAATTCACTGTTGTGCAGATTATAACTATATTTTGTCATGTCCTATCTACTTCTTTATTCTAAAGTTTGCTTATTTGATATAATGGCGAATATGTATAATATGTGTTATCTTTTCCTATACCATATTTTTTATTTCCAAATGTTGTGTTTTAAAAATGAAGTAACACACAAACTTAGAGCCTTACTTGATGGTAAGTGTCTACTGTAGTACATAAAACCTGCAACCACTGCACCTGTGTTACCATATTTGTGTACACTTCTATAAATTAAAATTAAAATGATTGCCTTCACCAAAGGTACTTCGGAAACCGGCATGTCTTTAAAATTGAAAAAATATTTCAAAGACATGATGTACGCCAGTATGCACTGCGGCAACGCGGCGGATATTTCCTTGCCCTAAAACCCTCTTAGAAATGAGAGGTAGCCTATGCCCTGTACGACGTATATAGGCTTTAACTTTAACTTTTTAGCGTTTGCCTGGAAGAAATCGCAGTTTAGCAATAAAGTAAAAAAACTTTTATTTGGTTAATGTGTATGAAGATACACATTAAACAAATAAGTTTTAATGTGTGCAAAAAAAGAGTATAAATTAGATAAATAAACAAAAAAAATTCTTACAGTCTTCATGTTATTCTTTCAGTACGTCGGGTTCTTGATAATTTTCGTGGTGCTGGAGCTTCTGGTGGCAATATTCGTGTCGGTGCAGCGATACGGCTTGGAGTTCAGGATTTCGGACTGGATCCGCAACGACTTCTACCGAAACGTAACTGAGGATCACCTGGAGCAGCATCAAAAGCTCTGGGATGATATACAAACGACAGTTAGTTTTATTTGTATTTGTTTTCTTTCGGTAACAATTATTTACATCGGTCTCGACTTCGCACGTGTGATTTGAATCTCGATAATAGCGCCATATACCGAGTCCACATATAGTGAATAACTATCCTGGTGACTCAATAAGTACCACATAAAAATTCAATCACATTTGGCCAAGTTGTTTAGAAGGAGAATAATTAGGAACACATGCACACCGGAAGTTTATAAAGAGCACGTATAGCATAATATTTTCAGGCTTCCTCTAATTTCTCTGAGGGTTATGAAACTGTTAGTCCACTACCACAGTGCGTATTGGCCGGACTTCACACATCATCAAAATATTTAGTTCCTCAGACTTACAGGTTTGACACGTTTTCTTTTTACTGCGAAGCAACGGGTAAATCAGCAATTAAAATTAAAAATTATAACTTATTTGCCGGCGGGGTTCGAACCGGGTTGGTTGCGTATTGCTATGCTCGCTAGTTTTTGGTAATATTAAGAATAAATCAAATGGTGAATACAATTTCACACTACTAAGCAGGAGGTACCTTTCTGCGTAGAAGTTCGTCTGAATCGGAACGACCCTCTTACCTATTTCAGCTAAAACACAGTAGGGCCTGCATTATGTTTATTAGCCCAATAAAATGACAGTTTGTGAAGTATTATCTTAGTCCGCGAGGGCTACAACGCTTTTGTATTTTTTTTGTTTGAAGTAGGTTGCAGGTGTCCATGAGCTGCGGTAGCCAGGTGAACTGTAATTTTTTAACTTCCCGCTATTATAATCCATGATTTTCAAAAAATCGGGAAGTTATTGGTATCACCCTAGTTTTCGAAAATTGAGTTTTTATCAGATCTCGACGTTTTGAGGTCCTAGGATGCCGTTCTGACTATTTCTACGAGGATGTCACTATGTCTGTATGTATGTGTGTGTAAGTTCTAAGAGCTTTCATAGCCCCCGTCATAACGGGGAAATTGTGACTGTTTGTCGACCAGCTTTTCGAGATTGGCGAAACAGAACGAAACAAACGCATGCATGTAATTCAAGTTCATATGTGATGGACGATCGTGTCTTGACCATCGAATATCTCGTGTAATGTATCAAATATTACAAACTTATTAAAACGTAACACAATCGGGTATTTAATTGAGAATGGGGCCTAAAATAGACGAAAAACCTGGGTAGTGTCATTTTTTTCAATCGGGAAAATATTAAATACCTATTCTATTATGTAATTAAAAAACACATGTAACAAATTATCCTTATTTAGCTACTCGTATCTTTCCTTGATTTCCATTCATTACAGTTTATCAGAAGTCCACTCCTGCTTTTGTTGCACTTGTCAAACGGGATCGCAACTATCAGAAAGAGGCTGCTGCCCATCTCGTTTTAATTTCCCTCTGTCACCTTTTGCGACACGCACACAATAACGAAACAACGATAATTTTTTTGCTGTAGGATAGGGTGACAAACGAGCACACAGTCCACCTGATGGTAAGTGGTTGCTGTGGCCCATAGACATCTACATCTATCCTCGATCACGAATCAGAATGCAGACGCGTTGTCACCCGTGAGGATTAAGATGGAATGCCTCGTTTCCAGTAAAAAGAGTCACTGGTTCTCTACACTCATCATACGAAACACAGCAGCATTTAACTATTATTTTATGCTGGTATTCTGTAAGAGCGTAGTCTTTCCCTGGACGAGTCGACTCATTCGTGCTACAACTATACTACCAATATAACTGCAGCATGGCTCTACCACGTATAACGGAACTTGATTTACTATGGTAAAATTTTATTCTGCTCCATCTGACTTTGCTTTGTGCGCAATCTTAATATGAAATGGGTTTGTGTCCTCAGTATGAATGCTGTGGTCTCAACGGTCCAGAAGATTATCGTGCCGTGCAGCAGCCCATCAGTCTGTCGTGCTGCCCATGCGCTTACCGAGCACTCACTTCTTACGCGCGACAGCAGCTCTACCAAACTTGTTTGGAGTAAGATCACAGCCACAGTTATGTGAGATTTGGTTATTAAAGCCATAGGAGTTAGCTAGCAAATCGCATCACTCGTCCGTAAAAGTTGGCTATTTCATTATGAGCGCACAGTCCACCAGATAGTAATCGGTTGCTGCGAAGTTGCGATCAGATCGCGTCGCTCGATGCTGAGAGATGACGAAGAATTGTTTATAATAATAATAATTTTTATTTCAGCTAACCGAGTAATCCATATAATTTGTTAGTATTCTTATAATCTATGTTGGTACCTACCTGAATCTAATTCTGAAATACAAATGCCTTATCAATTAAACAGAGGCGGTAATATTGCTTAAAAAGAAATGAGCTATGTATTTCAACCATAGAATACTATAATACATAGTAGAATGGCCGTCAACCTTATTTTGTACGAGGATCGGCATCACCGGGAGCACTGATTCGCTGTCTTGACAGATAGAGTAAATTTACACGTTTTAGATTTTTGATTAATGTTCAAGATCATCATTAAAAAATACTTTAAATTTTAATACATATTTATTTATAGATAGTGTGCAATTTGGCATTTTCTAAATCATTTGCATTCGAAATTTGGAATCGATTGTAACGTCAAAACATATCTCGTGTTGACAGTTATACGTGTGAATTGACATGTAAGCGACATTTTAGTGGCTACACGGGCTCGGCCCACTCCCTCGTTTTATTATGTATGTATTACAGTATTCTATGCTTTCAACAATTATTTTCATGATGTAGTTAGAGCTAGTCCGCACCAAAAATTAAAAATATTAGATTCAATACAAGACTACAAATGCCCACGATTAATTTTCTGATGGAAAAAAGGTAGTAATCGGGGAAAATTTTTTTCTTGCACTCCTGTAATTTAAAAAAAATTCACGTTCACCACTTTGGAGCGACGAATTATTTGTAGGCCGAATAATTTGTTCCGAGCAGGATTCGAACCCGCGGCTCTTAGCGCTGCAACTGATCGCTAAGCCACTGCGCCACTGCAAAGTCCACTCATGAGGCTCTCTCGTTGTAGATAAAGCGGATTCATAATAGCAGTAGGTACCATACATCTCGCACCTTTCATGCTGCTCCCTGTTGCTAGGAATTTCTGGTTTTTGGAGCGCAGCGAGCGAAGCCAGCGGATCTCCCATGGCGCAAGAAAACGATTCTTTGAAATCTGTCTCCTCCGTAACCCGTAGGCTAATTTACATAATTTTTTCGGCAATATTTGTAGCTCAACTCAGACAAGGTTTGTAAACAATAAAAATCTGAATTTGATTTTTCTTCTTTTACTATCTAATCAATTCGCTAATTTACATCTGCGCAATGTCACACCATTTGATCGAATCTTTTGTTGAAATAAAGATAGTTGACTTTAGATTTTTACTCCGCTCCGTTTATGATGCTAGCAAAAGGTTTTATCTTTGTATCTGCATCGGCCTAGTTTTACTACTGGTGTAAACGAGATCGCTATAGTGTCTATCCAAAGCCACAAGATCTTTCATGTTTCTTAATCGATTTTTACGACACGCATGGGGTGTAATGGGGTGAAAAAATGGGGTGATGGATCATCACTGCATGGCCCCACTCCGATCTAAGGTAGTAATATTTTTATAGTAGATATATGTTAATTTCTCAGGTCTGAGAGCTACTTCAGCGAAGGTTGTGAGGACGAAATTCTGTACGTGCTCCGATCGGACGCAGACTGGCTGATAGGGGTCGCCGTGACATGTTTTTGGTTTGAGGTTTTTATATTTTATATCATGACTGACGCAATTTTAAAATTAAATACAATGCGCTTAGCACCTCAGATGCGGTGATATAATATAATCTCATATAATATGGGTAAAGTCCGATTTTTATTAAAAATATTGATTTTGACTGTACGTAATGTATGCACTTTAGATCCAGCTGATATTAAAAAAAAATCATATATTTTCCAGGCGGCATGCATGCTCTTCGCTATGTGTATGGCCAACAACAAGAAGCATGAAGCACAGATAAATAAACTTGTAGTCAGATATTAAAATAATTTTAAGAATGTTTAAAAATATTTCCATTCAAATTAAAACAATATAAACCCGCGTTTTACTTATTGTTAAATCCTAGAGATGTAAATACAACATGAATGAATATTTCAAATTTCAAATTCATTATTTATTTGTGAATACAGTAAGTTAGGTGTTAGTAATGATAGTAGAAGTTGTTTGCATGGATGGCTGTGTGGTACGATAGCTCTTTATCAGTCAATCTAATAATGAAGGGTCAAAAGGCGCTACTTTATCGAAGTCATTTTGATAGTTGACATTATCTACACTAATATTATAAAGAGGAAAGATTTGTTTGTTTGTTTGTTTGAATTGAATAGGCTCTTAAACTACTGAACTCGAACGGTTTGAAAAATTCTTTCACCATTAGAATCCTACATTATTCCTGATGAACATAGGCGATAGAACGTTTTCGAAAAATTTAGGGATCCGTATGAAAACTTCGTTAATGTTAACCCAAGGTGTGAAAAAAAATACCAAAAAAAAACCTTATATCGCGTACGCTGTGGAAACTATTGACAATAGAGCAAAGTGATGTGCTACAGTTTTATGGAGGACATCAATATCTAAATAAAAGTCTGCAATACCATATGTCTAACTAATATAGTTATCTCACAATAACTACTTTTCCATGTTAAAATATTCAATAGTAACGTCGAAAAATCCTTATATCGCTTACACTGCCAGCACCATGCGATGCGGGTGTCACTGGGGTGTGGGAGGGTAGTCTATGTCAAAAATAAAATTGCCGCGCGGCCCACTGATATACGCGGATGAAACCGCGGGGTACAGCTAGTTGTAAATATTTTGGTCGATTATAGTATTTCGTATGTAGTGTAGTAAGGTTTTTTAAATTGATTTTCCGAAGTGTCCTAATTATTGCAAAGCTGTGTTACACGATTAGTATACGATTTTGTGTTTTTATCTCAGTCCACCTTCTAGTTTTGGTTTTATAGCTACGTTTAAGGAGACCATATTACTCTCACGTACCTTATTATTTTTGTGTGATGGCGTTACCGCCTAAATTTTTCCAAGGGGATCCATAAGCGGCTAATGGTGTAATTAACCTTGGTGATGGATAACAGCATATTTAAGACTAATTTTTAATAATCTAGTGTTTAATGTATTTAATGTACATAATTTAATGTACTTAATAGTTGGCACCTGAATAAGCCTAGTATAAAGGTCCAGTATGAACTACAGAAAAGCGAAGGAAAAGGCAGAAAGCAAATGACAGTTATGTTTAATCTAAGACCTTAGTGAAGTATTTAACGTGGCATGTAACATGGTAAAATAGAATAGATTTTATTTATTTGAGATAGATTATAAATAATAATAAATCAATACGTCCCTATCGTATGATCGTAACATCGAGCGGCTGCTGATTTAGGACCACAGAATGTGTCACTATGTCAAACGGTTTCAAAAAGATGTATGTTTATACGTGGTAGAGCCATGCTGCAGTTATATTAGTAGTATAGTTGTAGCACGAATGCGTCGGCTCGACCGGGGAAGGACCACGCTCTCACAGAATACCAGCGTGAAATAGTAGCTTAATGCTGCTGTATTTCGAATGGTGAGTGTAGAGAACCGGAGACCCTTTTTACTGGAAACGAGGCATTCCATCTCAGTCCTCACGGGTGACAACGCATCTGCATTTTGATTTTTAATGGAGGATAGATGTAGATGTCTATGGGCCGCAGCAACCACTTATCATCAGGTGGACTGTGTGTTCGTTTGTCACCCTATTCTATATAAAAAAAAAGTGTGGTGAAGTCGTAAGAGAACCTGTCGCCCCATTACGTTCCATGGATGTTATGACATAGAAGAGACTATGGGATATGTCAGAAAGATCAGATTAGGTGGAAAAATACCCAGACTGGCGACAGGAAGTAACGTCAAAGGTGCGAAACGTCTGATACTACTACATCTAAACGATTAAGAATCAAAATGCAGATGCATTGCTACCCGTGAGGACTAAGATCAAATGTCTCGTTTTGAGTAAAAAGGGTCTCCGGAACTCTACTCGCACCATACAAAAGCATTTAGCTGTTTTTAAGCTAGTATTCTCTGTATTTTGCGCTGGTATCACTCTCTGTGTTTGCCAAACATGACGATTAATACGAATTCTCTGTGTAACTAGAGAGAGACATGTGTTCACCAGTGAAATCTTACTGGTTGATAATTAAAAATATTTAAGAAAAAGATTTAATAGTTAGTACTTTGTTTACAGAAATGAGGACAAAGTAAAAAACCACGTGTGTATCTAGTACGTGCTTAATCTTAAGTTAGACTCTAACCTAAGATTCTAACCGTTAGTTTCGAATCGAACAAGTTCAATAAAAGTTTGAAAATTTGTAATTTTTATATAAAATATACAATTTATTCGCGCTCTGTTATTAAGTTAGTCTGTGATTTTATATGAGCATATTAAAACTCTTTAAACTCAAAATTATTTTTATATTTTTCTGTTGATTCTGCTTTTATTTTCAAAACATATCTTTATAAAATTTAAGGCGAGATATCTTTACAAATATCCGATGACGCCACAAGCTACATGATGACCGGCATTTCCAGTCTTCTTAGAATCCGGATGCTCAGTCTGCCCGTAGTCGTCAGCCATCGAGTGCAGAACAATGGCTCGACCTATGATGGAGTGCGATCCCGAAAGTTTGATCACGTTATCCCAGAAGTCCACCTTGCTGACGTGATTCTCGTCGAACACCACGTTGCCCAAATCACCAGCGTGACGATTCTCATCGTTGGGGTGACCATGCTCCTTCTGAAACATGAATAAATTTTTATAGAATAAGGGAGATAAGCGTATACACAGCCCACCTGATGGTAAGTGGATTCTGTGGCCCATAGACATCTAAATTTATCCTCGATTAACGATCAAAACACAGATGGGTTGTCACCCCTGAGGACCAAGATGGAATGCTTCGTTTCCAGTAAAAAGGGTCTCCGGATATCTACTCTCAACAAAAACAAACTAACGCTGTCTTCTATGAGAGCGTGCTCCTTCCTCGGTCGAGCCAACCCATTCGTGCTACAACCATAATATAGCTGCAGCGTGACTCTACCACGTATAAAAAAATTTGCAAAGTTTATTAAAATTTAGTTTTCGATGCTCATTGATGGATAATATTATATAATACCCATGTTAACAAAGGCAGCAACTTAGATAATCTTCATTGTAGTTGGGGTTTGACCACGTGGTGAAAACTGGATCAACTGGGTAAAGGCGGAAACAAAACGCAGTGTTTATTTTCAGAACTTTTTTGTTATTACTGAAGTAAGGATGACTATCGAGCACACCCCCGTGATGGTAAGTGGATGCTGTGGTCCATAAACCACTAAAAATTTAAACACAGTAAGCCGTTTTCGACATTCCCATATGGTCCATACTTACTCGTACCTACATATAAACTATCTTTTAAAGGAAACAAAGCAGAGGAAAATATAATACACAGAATATCGGTTAAAGATAGTAGGATAATTCTAAATGACGTATGAGTGCAAAAACCGGCGTTCCTTTAAAAAGATAAAGAGGCAATTCATATTATACCTCTGAAGTGGGAATGGCATTGTAACATGTGAACGAAGTAGAAGCCTATGGCAGTGATATTTTACAAAAAATAAAAACAAAATTTTTGAATTAAACGTTTGAAAAATTTTTTGAACAATTACTTTGCCCTTTGCGCTTGAGTAGGTGACCCTGCGAAGTGACAAGGTCAAAGATGCCTACTAAATTTATTATTTTATTGCCGTTCGTAAAGTAAGGTGGATAGTCGTATGATTTGAATTTCGATAGGTTTTAATTCATTTATTTATTTAATTCAAAATTTTTGTTTTTCGTTTTTAGTAAAATATCAGCGCCTTAGGCTTCTACTCTGTTCACATGTTACACCCTATTTTTCCAGACGGTAGAAAAGGTTCATCATCACAATATATACCACATGATACAGTACAGTAGTAACCCAATTCTTAGAGAAAAGAAAAACTTAAGAAATCCTTACATTTTCCGGGTTGAAATGACCACCGTTGGAACTGCAACCTTCTGTGATATCTCCTTTCTCGTAGATATGGAATCCATATTGACCTGGAGGCATGCCGACGATAACGCCTTCGATGTGTACTTTACCATCGGGTTGCTCGGTGAAAGTCACTTTGCCATGCACCTTATCGCCAAGAGGCTCTTGCAATTTGACGATAGCACGCAACTGCAATGCAACGTCTTGTAATCAATTCATAATAATAAGAAATTGTACCCACCCATACGTATCCATTTTTGTTAGTATGAAGCTATGTTATAAATAATTGATGAAATTCTAGGCAGTTTTAAGTGGTAACATGTTTTTATTAACATGCTTTCTTGTCAACTACAACTAATTTTGCAATTGATTTTGTACTAACTTTTCGATAATTTAGACACTTAGAATTTTACATAGTTATAATATTGAGAGTAACTTGTAAAATATCTTTGGAATATATTTGCCTACAGTATTATTGAAGTAGCTTTAGTATTATACTGACTGCTCACTGGCGTAATTACAACTAAGAAAGGATATATGAACATGTTAGAATTCGAAATACAAAACATACAATGCGTGTTGTCTTTGATTTTTTCAAATTATTGGATACTTAGTTAATAATTATGCTCCGTGGTACCAATAAAAGAATAAAGTAAAGTTCAGCCTATATATAGCCTGCTTGCCACAGGCATTATCTTATTTCGGAGAGGTTTGAGATGAAACCGTTAATGGATAAATTCTAGATCCCTCCTGGCATTGCTCTCGATCTGTCGATCTAATTCATCACGAGATCGATGTTTCATCACAATCAGTTCATCCATTCCGAAGATTATCAGGACAGACAGACAGAGTATGCAAGCACTAGCACGCATTTTTACGAGGTAGAGCCAAGCTGCAGCTATATTATAGTTGTAGCACGACTGGATCGGCTCGACCGGGGCAGGACCACGCACTCCCAGAATACCAGCATAAAATAGCAGCGTAATGCTGCTGTGTTTCGTATAGTGAGTGTAGAGAACCAGAGACTCTCTTTACTGGAATCGAGGCATTCCACCTTAGTCCTCAAGGGCGACAACGCATTTGCATTTTGATACTTAGTTTTGGATAAATGTGGTTGTCTATGGGCCACGGCATCCACTTACCATCAGGTGGACTGTGTGCTACTTTGTCACACAATACAAAAAAAACCGGTAAGCTTAATAGATGCCAATCGGTATTTCGATAATACAGACAGATACTTCAACTTTATATATATATATATATATATATATATATATATATATATATTTGACTTACAAGACCATCGTTATGTTCGGTATGGCTATGATCATGCTCATGGTCATCGTGAGCAGAAGTCACCACCACAAATGACGCTATCAGCAAAACGTACTTCATTTTGACTTGTTCTCTGGAAATAAGTATTTTTTTTTAAATCCACCATCAATATTAACGCGGCTAGCTACGCTGCAGCTATACTATTTGTCGAGTCAGGAATGGGTCAGCATGTACCGGGAAAGGACCACAGTCTGAAATAGAAGCTTAATACTGTTGTGTTTCGTATGATGGGTGTAGAAAAGCCGAAAAAGTTTTTACTGGTAACCAGGCATACTATCTTAGTCCTGACGGGTGAAAACGCATATACATTTTAATTCTTATTCAAAGATAGATGAATGTGACTATGGGCTACCACAATCATTTACACTCACTTATTCAATAAAAGGCTTTCATTTTAAAATGAAGAAGAAACTTTGCAAGATGTCCACCTATGGACATTTCCTTTTCGTATATTATAATTATTTATAGTATTCAAATATATTCTGCAATAGCTTTAGATACAAAATGTTTGGCTTACAAGTGTATTGCAAAGGCGAAAATACCAGCCCCCCCCCCCAAGATCTCTTACATCTACTTTCTCAATTTCCTCCGGAAGAAGTCTATGTCCAGTAGCGACCGTGACCTCCGCAGTTTTTTTACTATTCTAAGCCAACGCTCAACTATAATCCCACCTGATGAAAGGTGGCTGAAGATGGTGAAACGCACTGTCTTAACAAAAGCCTATTCACTCTCGCCTTGAAGACACCCACATTGTAAACGGATGGAAAGACAGATGTTGGCAACTCCGAATTCCAGCGTCAAATAGAAACATAAGGCTTCTGTTTTGTATAGTAAGTGAAGGGAGTAGAGAACCGGAGACCCTTTTTACTGGAAACGAGGCTATCCATCTCAGTCCTCAGGGGTGATAACGCATCTGCGTTTTGATTCTTAATCAAGGATAAATGTAGATGTCTATGGGCCACAGCATCCACTAATCATGACGTGGACTGTGTGCTCGTTTGTCACCCTTATTCTATTTAAAAAAGGTAACTTGAGACCCTTTTTAATAGTAACGAGGTATTCTATCTCAATACTCAGAGGTGATAACGCATCTGCATTTTGATTTTTAATCGAGAATAAATGTAGATGTCTACGGGTATATACAAAATTCGCTTCTATATTAAAGCCCGTATTTAACAGTAAACTGTCACGCAAATAAAAAATTACGGTATTCAGTATTCTATAGATTCATACAGAATCCCATACTGGATAAAATATTGTCCAAGACCTGCTAAATGCAACAAAGTTGTGAGACTTTTTGCGCATTAAAACACACCTGTAAAAAGGTGCTTACACTCTATGTAATCGTATCGACAATAGCAGATAGACGGTTTATAAACTAATACGAGTTAATAAAAAAAAGATAATCTAAATGACATTACCGTGGGTGTCGTAAAAGGCGACAGAATGAAACAAAGTAAGACATGAGCAGGAGTGTCTTAATAATAATAACAACTACAACATAAACATTTGTGGTTGCCGAGATAGCTGCCAAAGTTGGAACTCTTTGGATTTTAATAGGCACGACAGAAATAAATGAAAATGTTGACATAAATATAATTTTAAATATTTAAAAATTGTAACTATTCAACATTAATTTAAAAATATTTACCAGATATTTGTAAAGAAAATATAAAACCCCACAAAGATACCTTTAAAATTAATAATTAAAACGCAACTCACCTCCAAAATTTCGGTTCACGACTGACTTCGCAAGGACCTCTCAACCGTACATATATCGCAAGGATAATAATAATAACGTCGTTTTGTTTTGTATTGTGGTTGTTTATTTTAAAGTATTTAAATTGCATTTGGGAGAAACACATAATTTGTAAATGTCGCATCGTGACTGGTTTACAGAAAGATTGTAAAACGAAACACGTATAAAGAGATTTTTTATTTTTTATGTTATAAATCTGCATCGACAAACGAACATACAGCATAGTTGATGGTGAATAAGTTAGTGTAGCCCATGGACACCTGCTTCTCTATGTCACCTCTGAGTAAGGTGGAATGCCTCACAACCTCATAGCCTATTAGCCTATAATTATACTGGCCCTCTATGTTTTTTATAGCATTGGGTGACAAACGAGCACACAGTCCACCTGATCGTATGTGGATGCTGTGGCCCATAGACATGTGGTCTAAGATGGAATGCCTCGATTCCAGTAAAAAGGGTATCAGGTTTTCTACCCTCATCATACGAAACACAGCAGTATTACGCTGCTATTTTACGCTGGTATTCAGTGAGAGCCTTGTCCTGCCCCGGTCGAGCCGACCCATTCGTGCTACAATTGTAATATAGCTGCAGTGTGGTTGTATCACGTAAAGAATTCCGGTCTATACCCTTCAGACCGGAATACAGCAGTGCACACACTGCTATTTGCGGCAGAAATACGAAGGAGAGTCGTAACTACCTGGACAGATTCCTGGGCTAAAGACGAGTCCTGACTCCTTAACTACATTTTGTCAGAAATGATCGTTTAAAGAACCCTTCGTTCAATATTATCCCATAGCTATTACAGACTTCAACTAAGAAAACGTCCTGATGGCAAAACAAGAATCTTGAATATGGTAACACCGTTAGTTCCGTACTGAACACATGTAACCTCTCATTTCTGAGTGGGTTTTGGAACGGGAAAGAGTCCACAATGCTGTCCCAAAAATGTGTTGGTCATTGCAAGATATCTAAAGCCCACTGTCGAGCATAGGTCTTCCCTATAGATTTCTTAAAAAGGGTATATGTGCCATAGTTACCACGCTTGGCGGGGGGGTGGCAACCGCAATTTTTATTTTTATTCATTTTATTAGGACAACCAACAAGACATACACGAAAACAATGTAAATACTAGAAATAACAGGAAAGTTTATATCTAAGTGTCGTCTTAATTAAAAGTTGCAACGGCATGCAATGTGGACAACAAATATGTTTCTTAAAATTATTCTAGCAATTTCAGTTAGTATCCTACTAATAATATAGTTTGTAAGTATGGATGGATGGATAGATGGATGGATGGATGGATGTTACTCTTTCACGTAAAAATTACTGAACGGATTTAGATGAAATGTTACAGTAATATAGTTTATACATCAGAACAATACGTAAGATAAAATTTGTAAGGATATTGTGTGAATTATCCAAAATATGATGATAAGTGTCAAGTAAGTAGGAAGAAATCTACCAACTTCGAGCTATTCTGGCGTGCGCTGCCCAAACCGCTAGTTACACATATGGCACGGAGCCGCTGGTGGTGGCGGGCGAACGGCAGTCCGACGCACGGTGGATGAGGTCGGGTCTACTGGACCCAAAAATTATTTATGTGATAATTTTAATGTCATAATGTTGGTTCTTTTCTACGCCACGCTAATATAAGCTACTCAAAACACTAATCCTGCGCAGACAAAGTCGCGGGCACCTGCTAGTTTATATATATATTTAAACAAGACTCAAAATTTTTCACTTGAATTTTTGGGGCCTATCAGCAAATACAACATCACATGTCTCGCAGAGCTTGTTTTATTGCCTCTGTAATCTGTTTATGGTGGCGTGTTGATCCAAATTAAATTTACTTCCTTCTGGTGGAAACCTTGCCCGGCGGTCTTCAACTGAAAAGGGGACGTATTCGAATCGGAGACCTAAGTAGTATGCTCTTTGATACATAAACGAATTAGCAAAAATATTGATGGACATCATTCCGAACCTTTTTTTTCTTCAGCTTCTGAAGACCACTGCTGGACATAGGCTTTTTTAGGCCATTTTGGGCAAGACTGATTGGCCACATTTCAATCTCTCTACTTTCGCGTGTAGTACCAGACGTTTTACAAATTTTAACGTTGCTCTCCGTCGCCGATCTGAGTATTAAACATCTAGCATATACGCGTTTTAGGGCAAAGGGAAAAAAGGATGATAATATAATATCTTCTATATTATATGGTATGTAATTGGTGTTTCAAATAGGCTTATTAATAATGACCTCCAGATTGAATTTAGGTCACGCGTCATCCAAAAAGACCGGCCATCTACGCAGGATAGGATTATAGTGAGTCGAGTGTATGCTCAAGCAGAAGTGCATTCTCTATTCTCTTACTATCTCAGTCTCATAGTCCAATAGGATGGCAAACCGATACGACCGAAGTGAAATCAGGCTAAGGACCAACGGCTTTACGTGCTTTTCGAGGTACGGGGGTTAATCGCCGCTTCATGACTACACCGCTAACTTCATGACTTCGGGCTGCTAATGAGAATTTGTTGGCAAACCCAACAACCGTTTTTGGCCCGACCCGGAATTCGAACTCAGGATCAGATGAAAAGCAGTCGTGTTTATTAGCACTGAACAACCGAGGCAGCCTTAGTAAACATTTTGGTATACGTATGTACATAACTTCTAAGTTTTTTTAATTTTAGAATTTCTAACCATTACATATAATAATGTAGGTATACATTTACATACTGATATATTTACTGTTTATAATTCTGACAACGTATACAACTTTATAGCAGCTAATTAAGTATTAATAAAAAGCTATAACTAAATGCGTTTACGAACGTGATTTTTGTCCTTTACATTGACTTTCAAAGTATTCGCTTTAAAATGCACTTTTAATTTTATTTTTACTTAGAAATTTTGTTAAATAAGTAAATAATGCTTCTCATTTTTTGTCAATATCACTGATCCCATTAAGATAATTAGGTATTCTTTTTATATTCTAGCTTTAAAAAAATATGAAATTCCCGTTTAGCTTCAATAATTAATTTTTAGAAAATGAAATATCTAATTAAATGTATCCATGTATATTTATTTTTCTATAGTTAACAAATAATATATCTAAAATATATTAAATTTTCTTGAAAAACTAACAAATGTGAAGTTTATATTTAAACTCCTACAAATTTTACATTTATCGTATTATTTACTTTGTAGTGGCAGCGTTAGAATATCCACTTGCCCAAATCGTCCCGTGCTTTTTGTAAGAGGTGACAAAGAAAACTGAAAAAGAAGATGAACGGCAGCATCTTCCTAATAACACTTTAAAATACGAAAAAAGCGGCAGTTGCCAATCCGTCTGCCATGACAACTATGGCGTAATCCCCTCTATCAAGCAATATATGGGGGAGGCCTATGTTCAGCAGTGGACTATTATAGGCTGTAATGGACAGATGGAATACTTAAATTGCATATATGGGGACGGAAATATAAAAGTGAGTGAAAGCAAATTATACTCTCTGGCACCTTTTGGTAACTCCGCATTTGGCGATACAGAATTGTAAGTAATTGAAATGGGCCATTGATCTGCATAATTTGGGGTTCTTATCGTATGTGCACATACACACACACACACACACGTGCTTGTCCGCGTATGTTGGTGAAATGTTTTGTTTTGTATACTAATCTCGAAAACAAATGATATTATTAACTTATGAACATAGTCCTCAATTGGTTAACGCCGATTTTTATTTTTTTAAGTTATGACAAAAACGCCTTAAATGTCAACTATGCAAAGGTAAGAGTAGAAAAAAAAGGTAAAAGTAAAAAAACGTTTTGCTGCTCTGCTTAACATGAACAGTAAAAACACTTTGCTGGTGATAAGAGGACTGATTCTTATCTCGAGTAGCTTTGTCAGGTCTTAAAAGCGAAAAGCCGTATAGAGCAGCCAGTTTAGTCGGAAATTTTGGTAAAAAGACCGGACACTGTTTATTTTTTTGTTTAAGACGACAATTTTTTTAAAAGTTTAGCTAGGCTTTTTATCATTTACCTTCTTAAAATCATTCATTCAATAGTCATTACAAGTAGGGACGGGCCGAATATGGATTTCACCGAATACGAATATTCGGCCGAACATTATTCAGCAAGATAACCTTGGAACCTAACCAATTTGTCTAAACTTGTTACCGTAAAGTGCGCGGGATTAGCGCCGGATCCTGCCTCTCGCTCCGCGCCACACCTGACAGTTATTTCACCGTTTATGTTTTGACTATTCTTGTGATAAAAAAAGTATTTTGTTAGTGAAAATTGATAATTATATGATAAAAAAGAGCGGCAGGAGATTTATTATTTGGACTTATTTTAGAGAAACTGACGACCAAAGTAAAGTGAAATGTACTAATGTAATGTAAATGTAATGTTTGTTTCTTTGATTCCAAAAACATTTTATCAAGTTTCTATTTGCCATAAACGGGAATAAATCTACAGTGCCTCAAAAACATAAATGTATATGATTTATGCATTTGAGGTACTCTAGAGTAAGTAGATTTAACCAATAAATAAAATATACTTTCAACAGTAAAAGACATCGCATTACTCAATTCGTGCATTTCAATACGGAATGTTCGGTGATTTAGCCGAATATTCGGCCGAATACGAATATTCGGTAAAGCTGCCGAATATGCCGAATACCGAATATAAAACGAATATTCGGCCCATCTCTATTACAATATTAGACAAATGTAAAAAAAATGGTCTAATTTAAAAATCTTAACGAAAGCCATGCAAAAGCCATGCAGGCCGGACACCATCTAATTTGGCAATAAACGCAACCAAAAAAACTTGACTCTGTTCAACTTTATCAGGTCTCCTTGCAACACTAACAGAGGCCAGTAGGACTGTGTGGTAATAAAAGTTTTTAGTTTTAGTTTTTTTATGACGTCTTTTTAATATTGTATATATTTGAATGTTTTCTTATGTTAGCCGAATTCTAAAAACAATAAAAAATCCACATAATTTGATAGTTTCTGATGTCAGTGCTGTGATAATAAAAAAAAAACATTATAATAATTTTACGATCGGCAAAGATATTGCCGGACGTATTACAAAAAATACAGTAGAATCGAGAATGTCCTTCTTTTAAAAGTCGGCCAAAAACACGAAAACATGACACTGTATTCCTTATCATCATTATCAAAGCTTATCAATGTGCCTCCCCCATAGATTGCCTTATAGAGGGGATATTTAACATGTGTCGTGACGGCCTACCGTGTGTTGGCATATGGAAAATATCATCCGTATATCTTACGTGAATCTAGCGGGGAGGCCTATGACTTTGATAGGCTATAACGGTAAGGGGATGTAGCCAAAGAAATTTATATATAAATTTATATATATATAAATATATATATATATACTTAAATGTCTTTGATGTTAGCTTTTATTACTTTGAGTTTTGAGTTATGGAATTACTTAGTAATGATATAGGAGATAATGACTAAGTAATGTATTATCTTATGTCGCCACTACACGGCCATATATTTCTTATTACAAAAATGCCACCACTGAACAACCTAGTACCTATACTTCATATCTATACTTCAGAATATTAATCATAACTTTTGATAGGGTGAACCGATTTTATAAAACAAACACTTTAGTGTTTGTTTTATAATCAAAAGCAAGTATATAATAATGTATATAATCAAAAGTTGTGAAGCGTATCTTCGTTTTAAATAATAATGTAGTATGTAATAATGTAAAACGAAGATACTCTTCACAACTTTCCTATCGATTATTTTGATATAAATCAGTACTTTATACATGTTACGTTAACAAACAAACAGATAGAAATGTTTTAAATTACGTATTTTTAGTCCCTCTCAATTAATTCTGTTACAATAATATAAAATGTAGAGATCTGCAATTTCCATTTTTATTATATGTATAGATTATGTATATTGTAAGTGGTTAGGAAGTAACTAATTTTTAGTGAATTATCTAAGTGTCGTAACCTACAAATGCAATTGATCAATACTCATTAATTAATAGCAGCCATTCTTAGAATGATGCATTATTATACAAAATAAAACAGAAATATGTCATTTTAAAATAGCCCTTATGTAAATGAACGAAAAAGATCTTTTAAAAACGTAAATAAAACTTGGTCTGCACAGGTCACAACGGTAGAAGCGTTTAAGGAATGTAATGGAAAATGGACTTTAACACAAACATTTACGAATAAAATTTATGTTTTGATTTTTTCGAGAAGGCAAATGAAGATAGGCCCTGAAGTGTGTGGAGGAAGACACCTGGATTCCCACGCTCTACATTTTGTACAATACAGACTAGGGTAAGTGATGTATTAAACGAAGCTGTCTGACGGAATATTAAAGTTTTGTGACTCTTCTGTTAAACATATATTAGATAATTTGGCGGATTTAAAACAAATACCATTTATTTAATGCCAATTAAATAAATGGTATCCATTTAATGGTATGGTATCCATTTATTCAATACCATTTATTTTATGTATTTTTTTAAACTTAAGACACATCCAAATAATAAAAATTATAAAATAGAGGCAAATCAAATATCGTCGCTGCTTGGTAGTATTTATTAGGCGACAGATAACACAGCAAAAGCAATATTATTTATTTATTTTTAAAATATTATTTCTTGTTAAAAGTCGATTAAATCAATGCCACAACGTATATACTCTTATAAGGTTGATACACCCTACCTCTTATACAAAAGCTTTATCAGAAATTCAGTGTTTGTCAGATGCATTAGATCTAAATTCAGTTATGCTTCCAACACAGTCCAAGTCAGTCCATCAAAATCTTGTTCTAAAGTCTCTTTCATTGTATTATTCTTATACGTAACTTAATAATAAAACAAGATTTAAAAATTAAAAACAAATTTTCTCAAATATCAAATAATGCTATTGCTGTAAAATTCTAGAATTAAATTAATTCTAGGATAGAATTAATTTAATTCTAGATATTTACCGACCGATGACCTTCAATCGAGTGGTCTTTTTATGTAGGCGGCGAAATATATCCATCATTACCCCACAACATTATGTGAGCTTCTTTAGGTGTGCAGTAATCAAAACATACTTCATTGCTTCCTCCACCACCAGAAAAAAATCTGGTCTTCCTTTAGTAAATAGGTGACTAATATTTCTCATGCGCCTAACATATTTCTAATGGGCTAATACAATGACTTGAAAATTTTAATTCATAACGCTTTTTGGTCCATTATTCTTTCCAATGCGCTTTTTAGCTTAACTACAAACATACATATATGTAAATCAGCTTGCTATGCTTGTATTTGTAAATGTATATGAATTTAAACGAATTTCATTTTCAGTTACTATCGGATTGCTCAATATTCTGAAAGTTGACAAATGTATTAAGAATAAATGAAAATATAATAATTTCACGATTATAAATGGGTTTGCTCACTAAAAAGATTCACATTTAACACATAGATATTTTATAGATTTTTTAGTAATACCGCAGTGAAAGCGAACGTAATAGAAGAGAACGAAAACGAAATAACGAAGGAAGCTAAATGTAGGAAGGCTAATATTATTCTAAAAATCAACATCAAAAACAAATTATTAGATGTTGTTGTGTTAACTTGGTAATATTTTTCCCATCATCTATTCCTAATAAGCATTTTATGCATATCGCTAAAGAAGGGAGACTTTGCAACAATTAAAAGTATATTACAAAACGACAATGACCTAAAGAAGAATTATGATTTAGCTTAGAAGATTACGTTTTAACTTAGATATACAAAATACTATATTTATGAAGATTGTGATTTTTGAGGGCGTTAAATATAAATAAATAAAATACTTTTATTTTACTAGTGTTTGCTTATTTTATGTAACTTTTAAAACTTCCGTGCAACAATTTTCTTTTACAGCTATTAAATTTTTTTTCTTAAATAGTCTTCTTCTTTTTCTTCTTTCGTCTTTTTAAATAGTATTTTTGTAGCACGAAGAGTCGGCTCGACCGGGGAAGGACCACGCTATCACAGAGTACCAGCGTAAAATAGCAGCTTAATGCTGCTGCGATTCGTACAGTGAGTATAGAGAACCGGAGACCCTTTTACTGAAAACGAGGCATTCCATCTTAGTCATCAGGGGTGGCGCATCTGCATTTTGATTCTTAATCGAGAATATATGATACCCACAGATATCTGTGGGCTACAGCATCCACTTACTATCAGCTATACTGTGTGTTTTTGTCACCTTTATTCTATAAAAAAATGAATTACGTAAATGTACAAAGCAGCGTTAGTGGTAGAGACAGTCTGCTTAACCAGTAAAGGACCACGTTTCATAGAATACTAGCCGAAAAAAATGCAGCTCTGTTTGGTGTGGTCACTATAGATAACCGGAAATCCTATATACTGATAACAAGACCATTTTATCTTAGATTATTAATTGGGACTAGATGTAGGTGTCTATAGGCCACAGCGTTCACTTACTGAAAATTATTCCACATCCATTTAGAAGAACGCTCTAAAATCGTAATAAATAAAATTTTACTTCACCTAATATGTTTAGAAAAATAAGCCCGCTACGCCTATGACGGTGTTCTCAGGTCATAACTGACCATCGTACTGTCATTTGATGATCGATACGCTAGTCACTTAAAGCGGACACTTCCAAAGCATCGGACATTCGAACACAGAGTTATTATCTATCCTACAAACATGAAGCCGAGAAGCATTCGCTGTTTGAAGTTCTTTTTGACACTGTTCAATATAACCTGTATTGTGAGTTTATTCTTATTTTAAACAATCTAACCTTATTTAACAGTTAAAAATAGTAGCGATCAATAACGTTACGAATTTCAAATGTTTAAGTTATTTTTTAACAAAAACTCAATGCTTTTAATACTATTTGCATATTAGTTTTAATAATTTTCTTTTGATTTATTATTTCTATTTCTACCTATACATATAAAAAAAATACTGAAAATATTATAAAAATTTATTGAAGCAAAAATATTATTTATCCTCAGACAGGATAGACACAACAAAGCTATGGATAATGTTAACATTTTGATCGTAATTTACATATACAAACAAAACATTTATAGTTAAAAATAACAACAAAATAAAAGTTTATGTCAGCCTGGTGCATCTTAAAGCTAGTTTTTCCTCTTTGACAATATTACAGTTATTCTAAAAAAGAAAGACTTGACTAATAACATTGACACTCCTATACATTTTTCTCTACACATTTACAACAAAACTATTCGTAAGTTTTATTATGTGTATTACTTTAAAATTTATTCGAATTAAATTTATTTATTTATAAACTTTATTGCTCTATCTAAAAACGCAAAAAATATTAACTGGCATAATATTCCTTAATTATTTCTAAATGTCTGAATATTCCGAGGGCGTCACCGTAAATTAATACACAACAGTTAAAAACAAACATAAATATTATTCGAATTTAACTTTGCACAATTTGATTAATTATTATAGTAAAGCATTTTATTATTTTCACGTTATTAAATTTAACAAAGAAAGTGTGTATATTTCTCATGAATGCAAAAAGCTCATCGCAACACTACTTTTTTATAAAATACTAGCAATGCAGTTAAAATTACTAATATGCCCATTAACCACTTTAGAAAAGTTTAATACTATGATTGTGATAGGAGTGGTTCACGACAGTAATTTAATGGTGAATTCGAACCCACGACCTCTTGAATTCGCGGTTTGCACTCAAGCATTAGACAGCATTTGCAATTATTTGATGATGATGATCTTGCTTTATACAAAATCCGGTGATAAATAATGTAATATATTTGTTTTAACAGTAGATATTTTGTTAGTTTGTCTAAAAAGATTTAAAATGCTAAATGTAAAAAAACACACGGCATGGTGTTATTTAAAGAATGGGGGTGATAAATGAGCACACAGTCCACCTGATGGTAAGTGGATGCCACAGCATCAGCAACATAGACATCTACATTTATCTTCGATTAAGAATCAAAATGCAGATGCGTTGTTGCCCCTGAGGACTACGATGGCATGATTCGTTTAAAGTAAAAATGGTCTCCGGTTCCAAACACTCACCATACGAAACACAACAGCATTAAGCTGCTATTTTATGCTGGTATTCTGTGATAGCGTGGTCCATCCCCGGTTGAGCCGAGCCAATCGTGCTACAGCCATAATATAGCTAATGGCTGGCAAGGAAGTAGTTTTTTTTTAAGCTATCGTCGTATTCGTGTATTGTATATAACGGAATAGATCATTGTTTTTAAATGGTCTAAATTATCACATTATAATAAGTGCGTTTATGCGAATACACGGTGGTTTAATAATATTGACTATTATTGATAAAAAAAAAATTATTGTGGTCAATTTAATAGACACATAATTGTCCAATGTGGATTTTGAGTCACAAACCATTGCTTGCGTATACAGGCTGCCATATAGTGGCTATAAAACATTTGAATCAAAAATGGAGGAAGCCCTTCGACGCCTTTTTTTGTTTGTAAATTATAATAAAATTATGAAATTTTATGGTAATTATATATTATTTCATCATCACATTTTATTATAAATTCTTTATAAATAGACAAAATTAGCTCGCCCACGATGCATGCCGTGATATATATAACCTATAATTAAGATAACATTTAGTTCTTAATAATAGAATATAATTATTGTAACATAACAAATAATGTATGTATGTGTATGTATTGTAAACATTTTAAAATAGCGCCTTTGTTTAAAAGGATACCTCACCATATTTCATGCATGCGATCATCACGTTACGTTTAAGTTACTCGTACTTGTCTGTAACAAAATATTTTCCTTTGAGATTTTAATTTTTTGTAACAAATAAATGTTAAGTCCCTATGACCCTTATATGACCCTTTTACGAAAGTGAACATAGGTTAATACTGAATGCATTTTTCTACTAAATTAATAACTCCTTACTTCTTAAAGTTTAGTGCTCAAGTTTTTAATAATTCAAAATTAGGTTACTTGCTTGTTGCGAAAGTAAATGTAGCTGTAATGATCTTTGCGGACTTCGTTGCTATGGAACATAAAGAACTGTACCCAAAAAGGATACCTAAATAAAGTGATTTTTTTCCATATTATATTGTAGTGTATTGTAGATTAATTCCTTACTAATATAGGGAATGATTTAACCTAAAGCGCATATCGTAAGGCATATAGCCTCAGTTTAGATAGAATTACTAGCCCTTGCATTGATAAAACACTGCAAACAACTGAATGAAAAGTGGTGACAATTCCGGGAACTCAACGAGGGAATTGGTAAATGTCGTTACATTTGAAAAGCGATACTGCACTCGGTGCATCAGCAGCTTAATCTCAGCGAATGAGGGACTCGTTGATTTTTATTCCTTCACAAAATTCAGTTTCTTCTTCTTCAGCTTTCCTTAAGTCATATCATTTCTTACTGGGTGCTTGGAGTCCTTTTCTACCACGGAGCCCCTGTGGTAGGTACTACCTTCTAACCTATTTCTGTGTTCCGCTCTGGAGGGTGTAGGCATCCAGTGATGGTATTAAAGGCTGTGAAGCATTCCAATTCAGTCCCAGGAGGTAACGGAACATTTGTAAACCTTCTTTATATTTATGCAGTTGCCTGCAGGTTTCCGTAAGATACAGTAGTCACTTACATCAAGTGAAATATCAGTTTGTTTGTCACTTATAAATTATAAACAGAAGTCTACTGCTGGAGATACGTGTCTGCAAGATTGCCGCACCGAGAAGTTTTGTTAGTGTATCTATGCTCCCATACCAGTCAGTGGAACTTGAGTTCGGCCTTGTTTAGATGAAATTAATTTACTTTAATATTTTGTTCTTAGTTCTTCAGTTTGGTTTTGATGACAATCTGCGTGATCAATATGCGCAACCGCAAGGCTCACCCAGAACAACAATCGACACTCTCACGCGGTGTGCTATCATTTCTCCTGACTTTAAGCTTGGGTTTGGTATTGTCTGCGATTTTAGGATGCATCGGTGCTCTGAGAGAAAATGTAAAAATACTTTATGTGGTAAGTCAATGCCCAAATTTTATAATTTAAGTTTTATGTGTTTACAAACAAACTAAGGTTATAAAGGTTATATGTGGATATTAATATTTTGAAGTTGGTGCTATGGCATAGTGGTGTGGAAATTATTTTATTTTTTTATTGAAAGTTTACTTTTTATTAAAAGTTTATTTTTGACCGCTTTGAGTGGACTAAGGAATTCAGAAGCTCAGAGCTCTTAAGAATACTATCACCACTACCATCTCGAGACGGTGAGGCCGGCTCTGTTCTTTCCGACCGAGACGCAGGTGTCCTCTCCGGCTATTTCTCCTACCCGGGGTACAAACTTTAACACTAATTTGTGTCTCGGGCTGGAGTTTGCTTATACGTCAGAGAGGACATCTGTTCTCGACGCCTCAGCAGACTTGAAGGTTCAAACCTGTCTATCCTTCGGTTACGCGTAGGTGCCTCTATAGGTCCCATAGCGGTAATGCCGAAACAGACCGACTCTTCGACTACGTCCAAATGGCTACAGATTCTTTGCTACAGTAGATCCCCTCCGCAGAGATCGTGATCCTCGGTGATTTTAACGCCCACCACGCCGAGTGGCTCGGTTCACGTTTAACCGATCATGCGGGGAGATCTGTTCATGATTTTGCCTTGGCATATGGTCTGACACAACTGGTTACTTCGCCTACGCGGATTCCAGATGTGGAGGACCATACACCTACCCTGTTGGACTTTCCGCTGACCTATCATCCGGAAGGATATCAGATTTCCGTCGACGCCCCCTTAGGTTCGTCGGACCATTGTCTTGTCCGGAGTGTGGTGCCACTCATGCTGAAATCGCGGTTGCATTTTTCAGGCTGCCGCCGTGTTTGGCACTATAGGTCAGCCGATTGGGATAGAATGCGGTCTTTCTTTGCATCCTACCTTTGGGGCGGGTTTGCTTCTCGCCGGACGATCCCAACGTTGTTGCTGATTCTGTCGCTGATGTGGTACTTCAGGGTAGGGAAATAGTGAAGGAAACTAATTAAATAAAACTCAAACATTCTGTACTTTCTATCTTTTATATTCAAAATGCATGTTAATGCATTATTTTAACTGATTTTACTGCGCACGCACACATTTGTATGGGTCCATCATGGTTGGTGGAATACTCAAAGATCACACTCAATTTAAGATAATTTCAAATAAAAGTCTTCTACTTTTATTTACTCGTATTTCAAAAAACTGCAATAACGATCAAATATATAAATAAGAAATAAAAATTATTGTTTATATATTTGAAATTAACTTTGAAGTTTGCCTACTTTAAAAAAATAATCCTGTGTATATTAAGGTCAAAACCCGAAGTGCGTACACACTTAAGTTTCGCCAGCTACAACTATCGAATTACAGTCAAAAGCCAAAGTACGGACACATGGAGGCTTAGCCGGCTACACTGTCTAAGTTTCACCAAACGCAATCCTCTGCGGCTGGTTATAACCGACTGAACCAAGTGTTGCCGCACCTTGCAGCCGTGACATATAGGAACATAATATGTATTATGCAGATATTTTCGTTAATGTATAGAGCATAACACCAGCTAGAGACATGGTCTGAACTAAACAAAACATTTTATAATTGTGAAATTTAAGAACTTTTTTACGTATACTATGATACAATCCATTAACTATTAATGATGACCTTTGTCCAGTTCGCCGGCTTTTTCATATTCCTGGTGTCGGTGGAAGCAGTGGCGACGGTGGGTAGTGCGGTACTCAACACCTGGGCGGGAGGGGGCAGTGAGCTTCGAGTTCATTTCTACAAGAACTCAACGGTTGAAGATGAGGGTGGTCATGCATTCTGGGATCAATTACAGTCTGAGGTAAATAAGAGCACCTATTATATTGTAATTTAATGGGGAACTACCTTTTAAAATTTGACAAAACATACATTTCTATAGAAATTGTATGGGAATGTAATAATGACCTTCATATAAAATATTCAGTCACAGTGGTCACTAGCTGGAGACTAGCTATCTACACAGGACAGGATTAAGGTACACTCACGCTACACCGTGTCGGGTCCGAGCCGAGTGTCGGCCGTAGCACGGCTAACTAATGTTAATATATATATATATATATATATATATATATATATATATATATATATATATTTACTGCAATACATATTTACTGGTGGTTGAAAACGCGGCCGTTTATCGTGTGATCTCGGGTCAATAAAATATTAGTTTTTAAATTTTTTTCTGTTAATAAATTCTGAGTAGCAGCCTGAGATAGATGTTACACCCCCGTGCCTCGAAAAACACGTAAAGCCATTTGTCATATCCCTGATCTCTCTCTGGTCGTGTAGGATTGGTGTGCCGTCGAACTATTTGAGAGAGATAATAGATAATAGAGAGTGCTCCTATGCTTGCGCATACACTCGAGCACTGAACGATGAAGAATCTGATAAATCTTCAGCTATAAACCAGGACCGAGCTGTTGCCGAGCGTTGTCCGTTTCTCGGTTACCGCTCGGGATAGCGGGATAGCGTGTGTCCATACAATATATATATATATATATATATATATATATATATATAACTACCACTCACTGACTGACTATAACGATATCTCAGGAACTATAAAACATACAAACTTGAAGTTTATAAGGTAGGTTCCTTTTATGGCATAGAGATCAGTTAAGAAACGGTTTTGAGAAAATCTATCCCTAAGGGAGTGAAATGGGAGTTGGAAGTTTGTATGAAAGTCCTACGTTTTTGAAGTTAGAGACACGAAAATCGGCATTAAAGTTATGAGATTTCAATAATAAAATCCTGAATAAGCTGTTTTACGAAATCCTAACCCTAAGGGGGTGAAATTGGGGTAAAATGATTACATGCAAGTTCTATATTTTTAAAGTATAGATATGAAGATCGACATTTACTTTATTAGTTTTAAATAATAAATACTTGCATAGTTAAGCTTTACCTATATAGCCTCTTTATACTTAGGTAAGACTTTTGCAGCGAGAAAATTTCAAAATCTCATAGGAAATCAGATATTGTACGCGGACAAAGTCGCAGGCGGCCGCTAGTTACATAATATATGTGTTATATAATTGAGTGATAAGTATATTTTTTTCTTACCTGTCCACTTTTTCCGGTGGTTATTAAAAAGCTTGTGATATCTCCACTTAATTTTGGTTTTTCAGGAAGAAATATTTGCGATTCTTTTTTTGTGGAAAGATATTAGATGCTTCCTTAAGTATGAAGTGTCTCTTTTTTTCATTTTTATTTCAACAATTTTATGTTGGCATAATTTACACAAAGCAATTTGGGATGCATGAATTATGTCGAAAAACTCATCAAATTTACTTTTAGGTTTTTTAGATCTATAACTCCAACTCTCACTACTCCGACTAGAACTATTCGACTCTTCGTCACTCATGTCAAATTGTAAACTTATCACTCCGAGAACAACAAGGATTAGAGTAAAAACAATTAATACATTAGACTCGAAGCAAAACTCAATTGGGAATGACTGGAATTAAAATAAATACTACTATTTGTAAGTACACGCCGAAAGACCGACAAAGGAAAGTCGGCATCCTTTGATAAAATTAATGATTCTTCAGAAGATTAATAAAGTAGATGCGTTGCCAGATAGGTATAGTGTGCCTACGTAAAAATCAAATGTAAATATGTAAATAAAATTGTGTATATTATGTTCTTCTAGTGATTGAATTAATCTACGTTAATTAAATTAAATTTGCCTTCACTCGTTTGAAATTCAAAATTCAAATATGTTTTATTCAAGTAGGCATTAAAAATACACTTTTGAATAGTCATATAATCACTGTTTTCCCCAATTTTTTCTTTTCCATGTCCAGGGGTTCTGATTCTACTGAGAAGAATCATGGAAGAAAGTAAGAAACTCAGTAGTTGCTCTTTTCAAAATATTTTTACAATAGTTCTATAATTATGTAAAGCGATAAGTCAAACATAAAATGTCAAATGTATATGTAGATACCAAATCGGTTTAGAAATTTCTAGTTAGTCCTGTGTAGTACGAGAGGTCAGTTCCAAGCATTTTTGTCTGACTTAAATTAAAAAGGTGAAAGATCTAACATTTCTTTTGGAATCTTATTATAGCGTATATAGCATTATATACTTTGTGTAACCGGAAAGCAGGTATTGTGATTTTATTTTTATTTCTACTATTAAAATTGTGCAAATCACTATTATTTACAACAATAAGATGCAATCAATTTCTTTAAACGGTTCTCTAAGAGATACTCGGGCTCCTAAAAAGTACATAGATCTTATTTTACGCTTTTTATTTAATACGCACACTTTTTATATTATTCGATTAGCATTGTACAAAATGTTTACACGTTTCAAGTGTGTTAAAAGTGTCTACAATATTTATCAAATGGGTGACGACATATTCGAACACTTTGTGTTCAAAAACACACACTTTCAAAAATCGAGATTTGCAGTGAACTTATTGAACATGTTTATCTATTAGATAATAATAATAATAGTAATTATTATAAGCCCATATAGTTAATATTATAATTACTTGGCGACGACGATTGAATGCGATATCAATAGAAGCCGCCGGCGCGTGTATCTTGATCTTGTACTTCCGAATAGCTGCAAAATTTCTTTGACTGGTCAGTATTCGACCCTTGATGATGCCGACAACAAGACGCCGCGCACTATCAAAGTGCCGATGGTCAAAACTAGGGATGCACCGTTTTTTCTTTTAATTGATATTTTCATCCGCTATGTATGTTTATGGTATTGTTCGTAATGCGCATAAGTCCAATTTTCCAAATTTTTTTTATATATTTTTGCGTCTCATAGAGTCCCTAAGTGTATACCCGAACTCCTATACTCCCTGAAACGACACTCATTCCTAACTGCAAGACGCAAGAGTCTCGCAGGCTTAGTCTTCTTGCTTAAATATTGCACGGTCAGTCTTGGTCTTGGTCTTGCTAAAATTAGGCGCTCTTGTTCTTGGTCTTGGTCTTGAAAAAATGCAAGAACAAGACCAAGACTGCAAGACCAAGACTGATTTTGGGCAACACTAATTCTAATCCTACTGCTATTGCATTTGTTTGATTTTCATAAGTCGTCATTTACGACATCCATCGGATGTGTTGTGGTGATACCTGTTTGTTATTTCATGTGTAGTTAGTTAAGCATTACAGAAGTATACCCAAGATATTCTACTTTAACTTAAGAACTTCTTTTAGAACCAGTGCTGCGGCGTAGACGGCCCCCAAGACTACGCTATTCTTAATCGCGAGATTCCGTCCTCATGCTGTGCCCGAGCACACCCTCTACGAGAAGGTGGAGCTAGAAGGCACCATCATGCGTCTTGTCTCTCGGCAAAGTCGTACTATACGGCAGGTTGCGAGGAGACTCTTCGTCAGAAAAAATCTTTTAAAGGAAAAATGTTTATAACTACTGGAGTTGTCTTCTTGTTGCTTGAGGTAAGTTAATTTGTCACTCACATGAATAACAAACTGTGATCCGTACATCTGTTGTAGTGGTGATAGTATTTTAAAGACGGCTCCTTGGCGCAGTGGTATGGCAATAAGTTGCGACGCTGACGGCCGCAGGCTGCAATCCCGCACGAAACAAGGGTTTTTATGGCCTACCAATAATAGTTCTGGTCTGGATGATTGTCGTTGTGAAGTTAATGTACGTAAACTGCCTCCATGATATAGGAGAAAATCTTAGCGTGGGGGTAATGATTAAAAAAAAGAGAAACAAGTGGTGACATTAAAAAGTTTGTACAACCGACTTCAATATAAATAAAATGAGAACATAATCAATGTAGTCAAAGTATTTTTTTTATAGAATAAGGGTGACAATCGAGCACACAGTCCACCTGATGTTAAGTGGATGCTGTGGCATAGACAGATATCCTCGATTAAGAATCAAAATGCAGATGCGTTGTCACCCCTGAGGACTAAGGTAGAATGCAACGTACGAAACACAGCAGTATTAAGCTGCTATTTTACGTTGGTATTCTGTGAAAGCGTGGCCCTTTCCCGGTCGAGCCGACCTATTCATGCTACAACCATAATATAGCTACAGCGTGGCTCTACCACGTTTAAATAATAATGTAGTTTTTAGTATTATTTAATATGGTTTTTTGATATAAAACAAATCCATTAAGTTTATTGGTTTAACGTTAAATATTTTTACACTAAGTATTACTATTGCAGATCATGTGCATAATCCTAGCGATCTGGATGGCTAGGAAGATAAGGTCTGAGCGTCGAAGATTGCAGCAAAACTTACAAGCTCACTTCGAAACCTAAACATACTGGATACTATATTGCTATACAAAAGTTTCGCCAGTTAGTAGTTAGTAGAACGACAAATGTCCATCAAGACTTTCGATAAACAAACTTGTTAAATTATCAAATTCGTTAGAATATTAATTATTATTAATATTCTGCATTTGGTGTTAATACTTTAATCATATAATTGTCTGTTTTCAAGTGTGGTGGTGTAAGAAAATCAGTTAGCACATTTCGTCCTGTACATGTTGTAAGGCGCGATAATGGTAAATGTCATAATGACCCTGATTTCCGATGGATGTCGTTATAACTAAAGATGTAAAATAATATGACAAAGTCCTCGAAAAGTGGTGACCTATGGACTTTGATAGACTATGAATGCACGAATGAGATGTAAAATAGCAGCAGGGGAAGGGAGTAGAGTCTAAGATGTGAAACGGCCAGTATTGTGATCGCAAAACTGCCTGCCAGTGTTATGTCTGATAAAGAAATTATTTATTATTACCTACATGTTGAATGAGTTTAGTTTCCAAATGACGCTGTAATATTGTTATAAAAATAATTGCACTGTGCTACACTCACCAGCTATTAGATTTTAGTATATTAAGCTCTTCACTATACGAATATATTTCAACTACTTACGAGTAAAAATCACATACTCTAAGAAATATCTGCTAATCTGAAAATATTAGTTACAATACAATTAGCAATATTAGTAACTAAGAAATATCTGCTATACATAAACGATTAGTTACAGTACAATTAGCAATATTAGTAACTAAGAAATATCTGCTAAGCATAAACGATTAGTTACAATACAATTAGCAATATTAGTAATTTAGCCGAGTAGTCGCGGCGTTCGAGAATCCACTAGCCCTTGTTATCCCGTGGGTGTCGTAAGAGTCGATAGAGGGAAATTAAACGGGATATGGGCGGAAGCATCTTCTTGATGGCAACTCAAGGTAACAAAAAAATCTGCGATTGCAGTTACTCAGTTTTTTTTACAAAAGAAAGATTCTCTGCTTTTGCTTAAACGAGCATGCGACTCACATGATGGTAAGTGTCGAACGCCGCCCAGGAACTACTGCAATACTAGGGGAATTGCAAGTGCATTCAAAGATAACTTAATATTAAAAATAGCTGCGATTTTCAACCCGCCTGCCTAGTATGGCAACTATGGAAAATATCCCCACCCCATGATGCAATCCATTGAGGAGTCCTAATTCAGTAGTAAACTTTTAACAGGTTGTAATTATGATATGTTAGTTCGAAATTTATTTAACTAATTAAATATGTAATCAATATGTTAAAATAGAATATAGTATAAGTTATGCGTACTTTGTAGTTAAGTAAACTTTGTATTTAAGTAAAAAAATCACATTTTCTAAGAAATAGCTTTTATCCATTGCAATTTGTTTACGACATTAAAATTACTTATTTAATTTACGTATTGGATTTAAATAGCATAAATTATGTTAACTCTGTAGTTTAGTAAGAACCTAAGCGCTTGCTCAAATTTCACTGTACGCGGGCAAACCGCACTCAATTCCGCCGGTACAAATGAAATTGTTATTTACAAATGTAAGCGCTTATTATTATTTACTCGGTATTGAAAGAAATATCGTAAGGAAACCTGCATGTCTGAGCAAAAACCAAAATCGAATACATGTGAATTCTGCTGACAAGCGCAGAAAAGAAAAGGAACAAGAGAAGCCTTGCGCCTGGTGGAGGAACTTATAATTATAAAGGCTGTTACTTTACATTATGTTTGTATTATTTAAAAACTGTGTGTGCTTTTGTATTTAAGTTGACGAATTGCTTACATAAATAATAATAAATATGCGAATGCTCTAAAGAAGTTTAGCTATTATCTGTGATAATCCGTAGTTCAAATAACATTTATGTAACTATATTGATCAAGATAACAATTAATAATATGCGGTTTAAAAGCTTTAATTGTGCAAAATTACACAACATGTGTTTGAAAGCACTATTGTTATGTACTTTTAACTTTTTTATTGAACTTTCATTCCAGTCAAACCATTTTCTACTAGCATCTCACCCCATATCAATCAATGTTTTCTTTGCTACGTTTTGATTACAAAAATGCTTCATATAAAATATATAGTTATAACCGCATCAACAAGCCTCAAATTTTAAAGCAAATGCAAACACAGTCTTAGGTAGAGATTGTCTCATTTAATTTTGCAAGCGCCTTCCTTGTGGTTTTGGTAGATTTTGTGAAATTTTCCACATTTAATTATCATAATATTTAAATCTGCGCGCCAATTTTATTGCGTTTTAGTAGAATTTCGCAGTTTTGCTATATTTTATGATGAAACTGATAAATTCTACCAAAAATACAAGACAGGCACGTACAGTTTTAAATAAGACGACAGTCTAACAGACTTCATACTATTTTAACATTTCAAATTGCGAAGTTTCATCGAAAATATTATTTAACAATCATTACACCCAACTACATGTAAGTAGATTTTAATAGGTGGGTAGTTAGTAGTTTTGATATTGAAACGGTTGATGCCAATATTAATGTCATCGACGTGCAGTCCTAAGAAGATAACTTAATATATTTTAACTTTGTTTCGACGAATCGAATCACAAAACGCTGATTCAATTTTTAAACAATAGGGCATAAAATAATTATTTTTCGAACTTGAGCCATGAATTTCAAGATATATAAAATTAATAAAATTTTACCTTTGAAATTAATTTTAAAACAAAGAAGACATTCAATTTCAAACAAAGGAATGTACTTATATGTGATGCGCGTTGTTTATGGATAAGGAATTGTGCAAACAGTTCACTGCTGGCCAAATACTAAACGTTCTTTATAACAGAAAATCTGTCACCTTTTCCATTTCATTCTTTTATTTCAGTTTTGCTAGAGCTTAGATTTAAGATTAGAATAAGTTATGAACAGCTGTGACAGTAATGTCAAAGGGACCAATTCGTTGTTGATGCTTCTATTATCTGATTATAATATTTCCGTTTGTTTTCTAAATGTATGTAAGCGTACAAATATCCTCAAAATGCACAGTAATATTCATATTTCTATGCCTCTAAAGCTATCTACGGTATTCTAATTTTTAAAGTAATTTTTGTTTTAGCCTTGCACGTAAGGTGTGTTTCAAATTTAGAAATAAAATATTCATCGTCTGACTGTCCGTTCATGTTAATCCGCCGGAAAGAACTTATGTTTAAGTTTAACTTGAACTTATATTTAAGTATTTTAAGATACTAATGAGAGAATTATTATTATAATTCTCTCATTAGTATCTTAAATCAACTCTTTATAGTATCATTATAATATAATATTAAATTTCCAAGTTTTATAAATTTATTAGAAGAGTCATATATGTTTATGTATACTTAGTGATTTTTTAAAGCCTCGAAAAAATAAGGAGTAACAAGTGAACGGAATAGAATATATATGTTAATGTAAAATATCAGTGCCTATTACAGGCACTGATATTTTACATTAACATATTATGAAATTGATCTATCAATAAATACTACTAATTTGAAATTGACTTTCGGTACTAAAAAAATAATAACAATTTTTTTTAACTAAATAAATAAATCAATTAAAAACTATCGATATTAAAATAATACGTACTTAGTTAGAGCCATAGGCTTCTATTCCGTTTACCTGTTACACCCTATTCTTTTCCAGATGATAAACAATCATTCAGTATATAAATCTGTGTTTTGGTAAGTATTTTCAAAATAAATGTCTTTTTCTTTCTATAAATTTTACTCACGCGAACATAATTACGTATATTGCTTGCATTTAAAATTATTGCATAAGTTAAAAATGTCATTAACTCTCTAATTTTAATAAAAATTAAAAACAAATGTGAAACACAGATAATTTATTTAAGAAAATCTCTATCAACATTTATACTATGCAACATTAATAAAATTTAATAAATAAATACAATAAATGTTTTTTTTTTACAATTGGATTATCAACTCTAGAATAATATTAAAATTAACTTATTACTAATTGTGTTACAAAACTAACATTAAATCAACGGCGTTGCGAAAAAATTCAATCCGTAGATTTATTTTTGTTTTGGAAAAGCGTTTAATTCATAGGTATGATCTGCATCTACTGAATCTGAATTGTCATACTTAATAGAAGATAATAATATGACCCAGGTCTACGCAGTCAGGTCATCAGGTCCTAACACTAACTTTTCCCGAAAAATCCATACCATTAAAATAAACAATTTTTAAATATATAATGATAAAATAGAAAAATAACAATTAGTTGAGTTGAAATAAAAGCGTTACATAATGTAAAAATATTTTAAGTAGAATCCCGATTTAATTATACAACTTTATAGTAATAATATATTCATAATAAGATAAGATTAAAGGTGTGAAAGGATTTTGTTACATTAATTTCCTCGAAAAATATTTGACTAAAACGCGAGTTTTATATTCAAAATAAATTTCCTTCACAATGCCGTTTTACAATAAATACTGGTGGGATGACAGACAAAAATATATTTAATTAATGCTTGACTAGTAAGTAAGTGCTTCTTAACTGGTAAAATAATAAAAACAACAGCAAAACTAAAAAATCACATTAAAAATTATAACTTAACTGGTATTACAATTTATTTTAGCCATTGCAACCTAAAAGCCGTTACTTGTGGCATCCAACTTTAAGCCAAGTAGCTTGCAAGTCTATGCGTTAGAAAAATTTGATGGAATGCCTTATAAATTAATATGATTTTATAATCTATGGTTTGCTTGAATTTTAATAGTGTGCGACACGAAGATAACGAAAAGTAGCTTTAGTTTTAGTAATTAATAATGGCAGGCACAATAAAACATTGTTGCTGATTTTTTACAAAAGGGGCCTTTTGAGTTACGACAGAAAACTTTATTTAAAAACATTTAAAATTATTTTAATAAATTAACATTTAAAACAGTTGTACTAAAAGCTTCATAGCCTAAGTCTAGTTGCTAAATGTGTTCTAACCATT